TTAGCTTAGGGCTGATCTTCCTCGCAAAAAAATAAACTGAAATAAAAAAAATAAAAGCATCTGTTGTTTGCTTTGGGAAATTTGACTGTGGCTTGGATATGGGATAACAGGTTTTTTTTTTTTTTTTTTTTTTTTAAGCTGAGGAAGATTCACTCTGAGCTAACATCTGTTGCCAATCTTCCTCTTTTTTTTTGGCTTGAGCAGGATTTGCCCTGAGCTAACATCTGTGCAAATCTTCCTCCATTTTGCATGTGGGTCGCCACCACAGCATGGCTGCTGATGAGTGGTGTAGGTCCGTGTCTGGGAACCAGACCTGTGCCGCTGAAGTGGAGCGTGCTGAACCCAGCCACTAGGCCACAGGGCCAGTCCCAATAACAGGCTATTTTTGATAATATTCTGAGGTGTGATAAAGGTATTGAGGCTGTTTCGATTTTTTTTTCTTATTATAGGAGATGTATGCTGAAGTATTTTTTTTTTTTTTTAAAGATTTTATTTATTTTATTTTTTCCCCCCAAAGCCCCAGTGGATAGTTGTATGTCGTAGCTGCACATCCTTCTAGTTGCTGTATGTGGGACTCGGCCCCAGGATGAACGGAGAAGTGGTGCCTCGATGCGCACCCGGGATCCGAACCCGGGCCACCAGCATCGCAGCGCGCGCACTTAACCACCAAGCCACAGGGCCGGCCCTATGCTGAAGTATTTAGTGGCTAAATATCATAGTATCTAACCTAGTTTCAAATGGTTCAGCAATAAATTTGTATAGATAAACACATACCCTTATAATATTTGTAATTCAGGCAAAATGTTAACATTTCTTGAATCTAAGTGATGGGTATGCAAGTGTTCATTATCTTATGCTTTCAAATTTATATTTGAATTTTTTCATAATAAAAATTCTGGAAACAAAACAAAGCAAGGCATTGGGAGTAAAATTCAAATTTGTACTCAAAATTTGTACTTTTGTCATCCTGATCCAGAGGTCTAGCAAGGTAAATGTGGCCTCAATTTTCTTTTCTTTTCCTTGTTTCTGAGCCATTTTATTTCAGGGATTCTGAGCCTGAATGGTTGCTCTTATCTCCTGCATCCTCCATCTTTTTCCCTTATACAAAGAACCATCCATTAATTTAGGGAAGGAGATCAATAATTACAGTTTACTTGACTTACAGCCCACCTGGAGAAACCATATCTTACTGGATAGCCTGGTGTGTCTCAGTTTTAGGAGGAACTTTATATATCAAAATGCATGTGCTTGAACTTGCTGTGTTATTATTTTTCCTATATTGCCACCTCTTCTGCCTCATAAGATGAGGCATTTCTCTTCTTCTTTAAGAAGAGCAATTAAGAAATTAACCTTCTTTAAGGTTAATTTCACCTTTGCTCCAGAGCACATCCTTTCCTGAGGCCTTCAGGATCCTGATCTGATCTTCTGTTACCCTCACTCTTCACATAATGTTTTTTGACTTTTGGCCTTCAGCTTCACACACACACACACACACACACACACACACACTCTCACACACATCTGTCACCTCCATTTAAAAAATAATTCATTTTTCTGCCACGTAACAAGCCTTCCAGGATGTATTGACCTATCTCTGTTCTTCCTTGACTGCAGAATGTCTAACTACAATCTATATGAGCTATTACCATTTTCTAGCCACTTATACAATATTATCATTTATTTCTGCAACAACTCTTGCTAAAGTCACGAAAAAAGCAGCTTGATAGTCAAATCCAATTTTCTATTTTCTGTACTCATCTATATTTCTCTTTCTGCAGCTTTAAAAAGAAATATTCAGTACCTCTTCTATTTTAAGTTTTTTTCTGTAGTGTCCAGAGGGCCTTACTATTGTTTCAGAAGAACAGTTATTGCCAAATGACTATAGAAGACCTGAGGTGCACAGACCTTTTCAGAGCAAGACTGGTCACTTTATTGGACCCTTTCCTACCAAACCCAAGGCCACAGGGGTTCTATTAACTCAGACTACTGTCTTCTTCCAGGCTCAATTTCCCTCTCTCCACTTTAAACCCTTTGTGCTCCTCTGTGTTTTTCTCTTGTCTCCGTTCTGTGGCCTTATACCTGGACTCCTTCTCAGCATGGTCTTTCATACTGACTCTCTGTTTGGGATGTTCTTTTATCTTTGACTGGAGTTCCTCACATTGTACTGTCTCTTGGATCTCTGTCTCAGATTCATGCACAGCATCCTGAGGTCCATAGGTGTTTCACCCTTGCATTGTATTCAGGTTCCCAGGACACTGCACCTCTGACAGGACCAAGTATAATGGACACCACCATCATACACAACAGTGGTTTTGCCTAATAAATGTAGTTCTTAGGGCTTCTGTGCCTTGCCCGTGGCCTCTATGGCTAAGACAGAGGTCAAGCATAGAGTTGCTTATCTTGTGCCTGCAGGCCCAACTTCTACAATTCTATGGAGAGGGCATGACTCCTAATTCAGCTTTGAACGTCAATGAAGATACAGGCTCTGACATTTTGAGGAGAGGTTTAAAAGCGGCATTTATTTTGCCCTACCTGAAAGATGAGACTGAAAAGTACGTTATACCCTGCACCAGAAGCTAGATAAAAAAGGCAAACTATGCAGAATCCCTGGCTGCCTCATGTGGACTTTATGAAGCCACTTTCCCAGTCAGAGCAAAACCTCTCTCTCTCAGGGTCCACTGGAAGAGAATGATCAAGCATCTGGTGTGGCATAGTTTTTTTTGTCTGTTCTAAGATTTGATATTAAATTATGTTTCCCCTCAAAAAAATCTGAAAAAATAGGGTCAGGAGCCATGCAGATCAAATATTGTAAGCTGTGAAGATCATCTTTGTCCCATCCACCTAGATTCATGATAATCTTCAAGGCCACACTTCCCAGCTCCCAGACAATTTCACCTGGGCCCCTGCCAGGGACAACTACAGAGGAAGGGAACAGGGAATCATTGCAAGTTGTGGAAAAGTGGAGAAGGAATTTCCCTTGGAAACTAGTAGCCTCAGTCCTAGAGTCTGTGCCCCTGGAGAGCCATAAAGCACATTCCAAGTAAGAAACACTCTGCCCGTGAGAAGTAATGAGATAAATGGTCATATTCAGACATATGCATCCCTCCTTCCCAACCTTCCTAAGACCATGGGTTTTAGATACTAGTTCTTAACTACAGATCTGTGTAAAGTTGGATTTCAAGCCATTGGAAACACTATATATCTGGCTTGTTCAGTGGACCCAGACATCTACTGAGCCCATGCAAACCCTACAGGGATCATCTTTATGAGATCACATCTGTGACACTCTGTGGGGATGAGCTTTTGCCTACCATATGGCTTCCTACTGCACTTAGTCATTCTGACGGAATTCTTTGCTGCAATAATCCCCTAGCATACCATGATCCTTCGCTTCACCTAATTATACCCTCACCAGTGCTACCTACTTTTTTCACCTGTATCTGGGTGTTAATAAATTATATGGTCCATTAGGGCAAGGTCTTCTCACAACAGGATGTAGTGTTACCCTCACATTGGAATGTGACTATGCCTTTCATTATGCACACTATTTATACTTGGAACCAGAAGAACAGCTCCTCTGGGACTATATAGATAAAATTTTCCATCTAAATAAAAGTTTGTTTGCCTCAAACTATCCTGTTTAGATCTTTGCTGTCCTCATGTAGAAGGATGGAAATTTAAACTGTGACTGTATAGTTATGACAATATGTGCCTAATATCCATTCTCACTCATCATTAAGTTGTATTCAGCTGTGAGGCTGAAGTATTCATGAAACTCAACCTTGTGGGGAAAAACAACCAATCAAAAGCAGGAGACTGGTGAGTAGGTAAAGCCTTGCAGACATTCTTAGGAAAACTGAAATATTAAGTAATGCTTTTCTTTTCGGAATATAACTTTAGTATCTCAGCGGTTAATAAGTGTGATTCTTCATAATCCAGTGGGCTGAGAGTGACTGCTATCCAGAAAATCTATCAAAAACTCACCATCCTGTATGTCACTTCACACAGTCCTTGGTTTGTTGGGGGCTGGGCTAATTAGGGCAGCACTAAATCTACACAAATCCTGGTGAATACATGTATGAGAGCTCAGAAGTCTAATTTGTGGGTGATATGTTCTCCAAACAGGGTTATTTGCATGAGGTGAGACAAGAAAGTAAGCCCCAAAGACTGAAAGTAATATAACCATTTTTGGGTTTGAGGGCACTATTGGAAGATCATACTCCGTTAACCACTTCATTGTCCATTGACTAATCTCCTTAAGAAAGATCAACTTTACCTGAAACTTGGCTATAGCATCAGCTTTATTTTGTCCCCCAAGAAATCTTCTTTTGCCCAGATCTTAGCCTATCCCTGATTCCAGAGTTGGTGTAGGGGGAGTTCCTAGGAGAACCAAGCTATTAACTTTATTTGCTCCCAGCCCTGGAACTGGGAAATTATCTAGATTTCCTAGTAGACCTGCCCATGCCTGCTCTAAGGGTCTCATTGTGGTCCTAATGTGATCATATTTTTTACCAATATCTCTTCTAGCCACTTCCACTGCCATGTTTTTTCTGGCAGGATTTCCCAGCTCACTCGCCTGAACCTCATCCAAGGCTACAGGAATTTGTTGACTCACATGGCAGACAGTTAGACAGGAATGCTCTGAACTATGGTTTTCAAACTTCACTATACATCAGAATCACCCTGGAGAGCTTGTTAAAACAGCTTGCTGGTGCCATTCCCATAGGTTTGGATTTATTAGGTCTAGGGTAGGGCCCAATAATTTGCATTTCTTTTTTTTTTTTTCCCCAAGGCCCCAGTAGATAGTTGTATGTCATAGTTGCACATCCTTCTAGTTGCTGTATAATTTGCATTTCTAACAAGCTTCCTGGAGATGTTGATGTTGCTAGTCCAGGGGCCACACTTTGAAAAACACTAAGTGTAAACACCCTTGAAATTTGACAAACAAAATAAAGGAAGAGTTCTTTGCTTTCATTTCCCTATTGCTAAAATATCTTTGACTTAGTTCTCAAGTTAAAAGGAGAAAAACTGTTCAGCCTTGCGTGAAAATGGAAACAGAAAGCTAAGAACTTTGATGGGAGGAGCCTTAAAATCCTCTGTTAATTTTACCCCTTTCCTTCCCAAAATTTAGCAGCCAGTTGAACAGCAAGAGCTAGTCAAGTGTCCAAGTGACACTAGCCAGTGACACTCTTTCCTTATTATCTTTCAAAACCTCTTCTGTCCCATCATTAATAAATGAAGAGCTTTACCTGATATATTTTTCCACCTTCACAAGACAAATAGTCAACCTTGAAGCTTTGACTCAAGGAGTAGTCTGCTGTGGAAAGATTTCAGTGAGGTAAGACCTGTGGGAAGTTTTCTAGAAAAGCTCTGGGGAACCAGTTGCTAATCAGAAAATTAGTTATGGGTTTCTGTGGTGAGCAAAAGGTCTAGTATTGACTATATTCCAGAAGAGGAAAAGCCATCGGTTATCTGATTCTAAACCATCAGTTGACTGAGGGAATAGAAGTCACCTCTTATTTCACCACAACTGAGACCTTAACAAAAGGAAATGCATTTGGCTGCGGCAGGAGTTAGAATATATTGTCCAAGGGTTTGACCCAGACTGAGTCTAAAAAGAATTCTGATTTTCTGGGTGTAATGGTCTGCAGGCGTCTTATTGACATGAGTTTATATTTGGAGGCTTTTGATTTCTGGCTGAAGGAGGGAGAAATTTAAGGGCTGGGCTGCAGTTCCTAGGAAAAAGATGACAACAATGGCATGACAAAATGTCTATGATGTAATATTAGGTTAAAAACATCAGAGTCCAAAACTATATTATACATTATTCTTACAGTTGAAAAAATACCTAGCAGCTAAACTCTCACTCCACAAACTCAGAAAGGCAAGAAGTATGGCTTTTTAAAATTTTTCTGTTACACCTTTTAATTTCTATTTCTTATAGTCTATTCAACAGCAGAAAATTTATTTCAGTTCATTTAAGATTGGACCCCATTTTTCCTACAGTCACAGCTAAATTCCTAGAGTTTGAGGAACCAATTAGGTTCTATTCTAGTGATAACTATTCTATAAAATTTGTTGAGAGAGCTTTCATAGCCCTATTAAATATATAATAAATATTTCTAAAGGTTCCATCAAATGAAAGCTGCTAATTGTGTTATTCAACTCTTCTATATTTTTGCTGAATTTTTTTGGCTGCCTGAACAATAATAATAATTGAAAGGAATGTAATCTCCCACTATCATGGTGATTTGTCAATTTATTCCTGCAGGTCTATCAATTTTTGTTTATATCTATTGAGTCTATTTAATAATATGCATACATGTTTAGAATTATTGTATTGCTTTGGTGACTTTAACCTTTAATCATTGTATAGAAACTCTGTCCTTAATGGTGCTATTTGTCTTAAAGTCTTCTTTGACTGATATTGATATAGCTATACTGGCTGTCTTTTGGTTAATATTCAGCTGATGTATCTCTTCCCATTCTTTCCTTTTGAACGTTTCAGTATTTTCATGCTTTAGGTATGTCTTTTGTAAATAGCATGGGAGCTGGATCGTGTTGTAATCCACTCAGACATTCTCTTTTAAGTGTCAGGTTTAATTTATATGTATTGGGATAATTGATGTATTTGGATTTGATGTTATCTTATTTTCATATTATACTTCTTTTTCTGTGTTTGCTTTCTCTTTTTAAAAAATCTTTTTTAGGATCAGTGTTTATATATTTCCCTTGATCCTTGTTTCATAAGTCTTATGTCATGAATTCTGTGGGGATGAGTCACTTTCTTAAAGTCCAAGTAAGCTGCTTCCAGATGTAGCCTTTATGTCTAAATATTTAGCAGAAAGGTCTCTTTCTCTTTTTTTAATTGGGGTGAAATTCACATAACATAAAATGAAGTGTTTAAAAATGAACAATTCTGCAGCATTTAGTACATTCATAATGTTGGACAAGCACCATCTCTGTCTAGTTCCAAAATATAACAAGGTCTCTTCTGCTTTGTTCTGTAATGTATTTTATTAGGCCTCATGCCAGATTGTTTTAATTTTCTTGACAAAAGAGAGCTCTACACATACCCAGCATCTTCCAAAGGAGATGTGGCCTGCCCTTGGCCTCATTCCTTGTCCACTTTGCAATTAGAATAATCACCAGTCTAATCTGAGGTCAAAGAATGGATGAAGATGCCTAGTCCTACCTGACCTCGCTGCGGTTGCTGTTGCGAGCTAGTGTTTAGTGTGGCTTCTTCTAACTGAGATGAGTCTTGTCCTACGGGTGGATTATGTTTTTTTGCCTTTTTAAATTGAGATATAATTGACATATAACATTATATTAGTTTCAGGTGTACTGACTGTTTCTTGTAGATGCTGAACGCTAGATTACAAGAAAACCACAGTCCCCAGTAAAGGTTGAGCTCTACCTGACTCTACCTCACATTCTAGTAAGGATGTATAATTCCCTGACTGCTAATCGAATGGAATGTTGCTAGGATCCAGCACCCTCACCTCAAACTTTTCCCTGATGCTTTCTAAACAATGTAATTTCTGAATGTATGTGGAAAGAACAAGAGTGTGAACAGATGACACTTTGGGCACTAAAATATCCATATGCATGCAGTGAAAAGTTTGATCTCAGTTTTCTGCTGACAGAAACGGCGCAGACCCCGTTTCTCTAATCTAGAGGGACAGGAATTGGGGGAGGAACAAAATGTCTTCCAAACTTTTCGATTTTAGGAGGACAAGTTTTGGGTAGTAAAGTATATTAAGGTTACTGATTTCTCTTATCAAGTCATTTCCATCAGCTGCTCACACTCTGGCAATAGGTTGACTGATGGTGTAAGATTTTTTTTGCAAATCTGTGTGTTTGTCTTTGCCTTCATAGATAATTTGCTGGAAAGTTAGGAACAGAAATTATGCACCAGGACATCTGCATAGATTTTTTTTCAATGACATTTTGGGGTCCGTAGACCATGGTACACCAAGTGCACAGTGAGAGGATCTGAAGGAACATAGAATTTGGGCCTTTTGTGCATAAATGGTGCCCAGAAGTTTGTTAACAGCTCAGATTCTTGTTCTCAGAGCCTCCATTGAATAAGATGTGGTAGGATGACTCCTGAGGCAGGTTTTATGTGGAATTAGGGCCATGTTCTTGGTCTCAGTCACCTGTCCAGAGATCAGGGCGGAGGCTGAAGGGAGAACCCCAGTCACTGCCTCGGCCTCTGTCCTGTGGTCTAGTCACTGAACAGCTATCTCCATGGCTCAGCAAAGTCACCTGCCCTCCTGGGAGGACAGACGCCTTGGAGTCCTGAAATTATCTCTTCTTCACAGCTTCTGCACTACAGTTTCCTTCCTTTTTCTCCATGGGGGAATTTAGAGTATCAGATCTCTGTGAATTTCCTGGATCTTTGGAGATCTATTTGAGGCAAGTCGGTAAAGCACTGAGAAGAGCATTGGTTCAAATGACCTGAGTTTAATTTCTGTCTCCATCATTTAGAAGCTCAGTCATTTTACTTTACTTCATTTATGTTTTTATTGATCTGATCACCACCTGACACATATTTTTGTTTATCCCACTGTAATATTGGCCCCATTCAGGCATGGGATTTGTTTGCGTTTTATGAACTGTATCTGAACAGTTCATAACTGTTCAGTTATGAGCAGTTAACTGAACTGCCCAGTACATAGCCTGGCACGTTGTCATTAGTATTTATTGCATTAGGTTTGCTTCCTTTTTATACTTTATTTTTATTATTCTAAGTCACTCTGAAGTGAACACCTTCAGGTTCTCATTATACATAACTCTGATGTGGACATCTTCTTTTGAGTTATTTCGTAAGATACATCACGTGAGTGCAATTGTTAGGTCAAAGGTGTAACTATTTTTTGACTGCTAATATGTATTAACAAATTGCTTTCCAGAATGTCCTGAAGGTTGTCAGAGTCTCCATAAATGTATTTGTGGTTTTTACTTTGCTGATTTAATAGTCATAACATGATAGCAATAAATTAATTTCAATTTCTTTGATAATATTTTAATAGTTCCTCTATGTACCCTTAATCTATCATGGAGGAGGAAGAATAGCTTTACTTCCATTTCTCTATACTTAATTACTCCATAAGTATTAAGTATTATGAGCCTTTATATCTAGAAGATATTTGGCTGTTAGAGAAAAATTGTTCACGGGCATCAAAGGGAAAAAATAAAATGGGAACCAATTAATGCCATTTCTCATTTTTCTGTGTTATCGTTCATGTATATCATCTTTATTCTGAAGGCTAAATGAAATTACCACTCAGGTCTGAGTGTGAAGAAAATTTTGCTGTTTTTTCTTTTCACCATAAAAATCATACCTCTCTTTAGGTTCCTAACTAGTTGTAGAGGACTTAAATTTTTCCAGAAAGAAAAGGGCTGAGGTTTGGAGGTAAAGCAGCTATGCATACTGGTGTGTGTATGCATGTGGGGGTGAGGGTGGGGATGCTGGTGAGAAGCTAGGCTGAAGGGAACCTGAGGCAGTTATGATTTGTATTCAATTTAAAGTAACAGAGACTGGAATGCACAAAAACAAAAAATGTTGGCTTAAACAGACATTTAATGAAATGTTTTATTTTTTTAATATCTGTTATAAACTACCCGGGACTGGTATAGCAGCTTTGCAAAGCCACCTGGGACCCAGGATACTTCTTTGCACTTAGTCATACTTAGGGTGTGCTTGTCACCTCATGGTTACTACATGGCAGTCTCAATTCCATCTTAGTGTCCTATCTGAGGCAGTAGAAGTGGGAGGGCAGAGGGCAAAGGGCCAAAGGCTTGTCTTTACCTCCACTCTCACCCGTTCACAAGCTCCTCTGTAAGGCCCTTCTCACAACTTTTGCTTGGTTAGCACTGTGTCACATGGCTCTCCCTATGTATCAGGAAGTCTGGGAAAGGTAGGAGCTGTTTTGTTGTGTTTTTCTCTCTTTCCTTGCTTGTAAACTGGGCACGTTGAGACCATGCAGGATGCTTTTAGAAAGGAAGAGTGAAGATTTAACATTGAGTAGTGTTCAGTAACATTGAGCTGCCACAGAAGAGTGAGTTTGTCAGTCACATTGTCTTCATCACCCTGGAGGTTTGAGTGAGAGGTAAGGCAGGGATTAGAATAAACATTAAAAAGCAACAAGAGTTCAAGATGATAAAAAAGTTTTGAGTTGATATCATTGTGAGTGTATTTAATGCCACTGAATTATAGACTTAGAAATAGCTAAAATGATAAATGTTATGTTATACATATTTTACCACAATAAGAAAAGAAAGCAACAGGAGTGATAGGCATTAGACTGAGGGAGAATTCTAAACTTCTCTGGG